ATTTTTTTTCCCTGCAGCGCGTCTGTAGACCGCATCTGCTAGATACGGTTGCATCAGCGTCGCACGCTTGGACACCAATGTCTTTGTACACCATAAAAAAACATCGATGCACTTTTCAGTACTCATGCAGCTCCTTCCCCCCACTGCGCTCACCATCTTAGCCTGTCCTCTTTGCCGAAAAATTTTGACAGCATCGTTGACATCGACAAAGCGAAAACAAAACATGTCCATTCCAACTACCATAGCTTAAATTTGAATGAATTGACATAAGGATTAACATGTTTTGGCTGCTCTGATTATGCATATTGGCTATCGATGTCCTACGTGCTATGTGCAACTGGTTCATCAATTCATCGATAGACAAGCATGAAAAGCTCAAGATAGTGCCCTGACCCCGCCGCCGGCCGCCACCCAGGCGTCGGCGCCCCCCACAACCCCCCCACCACCTCCTCCTCCCCCGCCTCCCTCTCCCCCTCCCCTGCCCTGCACTGTTGGCGTCGCGGTGCCGTTCTTTACCACGCCGTCGCCGCCATGCCCGCAGGGCCCTACCGCTGCCGCCCTCGGCATCCAGCCCGTCAGATCTGACGGCCCACCGGTGGCAGGCTTCGGATCTCGGGCCTCATCAACTGGTGGCGCAGCGAACCCCGCCCCCCTGCCATCACCGACGCACGCGGCTTCCACCGGTGCCGGGGCGGCTCACGCCGACAGCTCGGCCGCTCCACCGCCGCCTCCTCCCGTGGAGCCCGCGCCAACGCCGCCGGGGGATGAGGACACCGCCACGGACGCCACCACGACCGCACCACTGACGGCCGAGGGGGCCAGCTCTGGCGCTTCATCCCCTCCGCCGCTGAGGCTATATGCCAGCAACGCCGCGGCCACACCCAGGCCTTGGGGTACCGTCAGGGCATCGCTGGACGCCTCAAGCTCCTCCCTCTCGCCGGCCGTGACACCGTTCTTCCCCGGATGCTCCTCGGGAGGACGTTCGAAGAGCCGGCGGTGGGCGGACGAGGAGGAGGAGGAGACCGATGACGACCACCCCGCGACATACCTGGAGACCGCTCGTCACCCGGCGAAGTCGGCCTCAGCGTCCCCCGTGCGCCCCCAGACTAGTTCAGCCGCAGTTTTGGGGCGCCACGGAGCGGGGCCTTTGCACGGCCGTGCTGGTGCTGAATGGGGCCAACAGGGACATGGCCGTAGGCGGAGGAAGCGCAGCCGGCCACGCCTGCAGCTGGTGAACGGCTTGCCTGTGCGGCCAGTGGATGGCCATGTCCCTGCCCACCAACGCCTCAACCGCCGTGGACGGGTCTCCGCCCCCAACACCGATGGGTGGCGTGAGATCCTCCCCCGGTAGGTCACAGGATCTGCTGCTGCCTCGACGGAGCCTCGCCCCAGCCAAAAGCAACTTTCGCAGGTCAAGAAGATCCTGGCACAGCTTCATGGCAGATGCTTCAACTGCCTTTCCTACTCGCACCGAGTAGCGACTTGTCGGTTGCCACGACGTTGCCTGCGCTGTTGCAGATTCGGGCACCTCGTCAAGGACTGCAGGCGAAGGACTGCTTCGACCTTGGCGGCGGTGGGTGCCAACCTACCACGGTACTCTGCTCGCGACGACCCTACGTTCTCCCAGCCCACGCCGCGCGGCGGTGCGGAGGGTGCCGCAACGGGGGCCGTGGGGGGCGCCGGTGGGAGACGACGACGACATCGGCGACGCAACACTAAGCCGAAGGAGATCGGCACGGGTGCGCCTGCCGACCACGCCGACAAGGCACCTACTTCTACTGCTGTTCCCCGAGCCAGATCCGGTGGCGCTGGAACTGTGCGTGAGTGCGGGGCCTCCCGCATTGGTCATCTCTTTCGACCCGATGCTGGAGGAGCTCGCCGCCTCGCTCGTCGTGAGCCGGCCAATGAGAGCAGCAACACCTGAGTGTCTGTCTGCTACGACAGCCCCTCAGGAGGTTGAAGCACCAGTGCCAGACACCTGTTCCCCGGCGACGGCTGCTCAGTGGACGACAGACTTGTCTCTGATGTCGCCAGTGCAGGGGCCGCCACAACTCACGCCACCATGAGCGGGAGCACCCGACGTCGTAGAGGGTTGCACCACCCCCAGCGACGCTACGCCCACACCACGTGAAGCTGCCTGACGTCTCGCATAGTTCACTGAGGAGGTGCAGCTCGAGCGAATGCCTCCATTAATCGCCAGCCCACCCAGGCAGAAGGTGGCAACCGTAAGGCAACCCATGCCAAAACGGAGCAGACGGATTGCAGCTCAGCCGCTGGCTGACATTCCGACCTCCAAGCGAGGCGAGGTGTTCCTCATGTGGACGATGGGCTTTGCACCGCCGGCAGCTACAATCTCATCCGCGTCCAAGAGTGCTTACGACGACTTTTTCGCAAGGAACTTGACGTCGAGCGAAGTGGAAGCACTGGACGTGCTATTCCCGGCGACCAATGCTTCGACTAGTAGAAGACTCATCTCGGATGACAGAGCAGAGTCGCGCGGCCAGTAGCGGAGACGCCAAACTCCGTAGGTTACTGCGCTGCCCTTAATTCGGTTGTTTACTTTTATGTAATATCGAAGTTTAAAACAGTCTGCTAGGAAGGTCCAGTCACAACTGTAAGACCTCCAAGGACGCTCATTAGAAGCGTGTCGTGTGTATGGTTAAACTCTTCTTCTTCTTAATTACAATGATACGCAAATCTTTTGCGTATTCGAGAAAAAAAATTATTTCACCTTCTTTTGCGAGAAGTTAGTCACAAGAGAAAACAAACGTGGTCATGGCATGGTCGATAATAGTGTGAGTGGCATGGTAGCAGGTCTCAGACTAACAGCTCATTGCCATTAGCGATGGTTCCATGGTTTTGGAAGCCTTAAGGCGCCTGTGGATGTTGGTACGATATCAGGCCATCCAACGCATGCATGCTTGAGCCAGAAAATGGCACCAACAGAATTGAGCTCCATTATGGTTAACACCATGATATTTTATAGCAAAAAGGAAACTACAGATCTCTCCAAGATTCAAAACATTAAATTTGAAAAGAGAGCTAAGGAACTTGGATAGGTACTAGGTAGTGTGCCCGTGCGTTGCTACGGGATAGCTAACAATTTATACTAAAAACACACCGATCGCACGATAACAATATTGTGGTGCGTTGCTACGGACGCCACCACGACCGCACCGCTGACGGCCGAGGGGGCCAGCTCTGGCGCTTCGTCCCTTCCGCCGCTGAGGCTAGATGCCAGCAACGCCGCGGCCACACCTAGGCCCTGGGGTACCGTCAGGGCGTCGCTGGACGCCTCAAGCTCCTCCTTCTCGCCGGCCGTGACACCGTTCTTCCCCGGATGCTCCTCGGGAGGACGTTCGAAGAGCCGGCGGTGGGCTAACACATGGAAATCGAAGATCTCGGTCATACTTCATACTCATCAAGAGAGATACCAATTATTGACAGGATGACGACTAACCCCTTGCCGACTGTAATAAGATATTAAAATTAGATATTCTTGTGGATCCTCAAAAGAAGTCACGGAACTTGATATCTAACTCTATCAACACATGAATAGTACCATTGTAGCTACGTAGCAAGCTGAAACGAACAAGTCGAACGTTTGATAGCTTTTTTTCTCTCTCGTTGCAACGCACATTAATTAGTCATAATCAAGCACGTGGTCACCAGTTGCGAGCATAGTATGGGATTTATCAATACCTGATCCTATTTCTTCTACGCCGGTGGTGCATGCTTCATTAGATCTGTTGTGGATTATTGCAGAATCGGCACATGCCCAGCACCGTCCCAACTCCCAGCCCTGTACAGCGCCAGCCACTTGGCCTCCTGCAACCGGCCCTGATAGTGAGAGACCCTGCTTGGCCGGCCGGGCCTAGGTGCCAGTGGCCAGTGTGGCCCCGGCGAACGGGGCAGCCATGGAAATTTTTTTTCCCTGCAGCGCGTCTGTAGACCGCATCTGCTAGATACGGTTGCATCAGCGTCGCACGCTTGGACACCAATGTCTTTGTACACCATAAAAAAACATCGATGCACTTTTCAGTACTCATGCAGCTCCTTCCCCCCACTGCGCTCACCATCTTAGCCTGTCCTCTTGGCCGAAAATTTTTGACAGCATCGTTGACATCGACAAAGCGAAAACAAAACATGTCCATTCCAACTACCGTAGCTTAAATTTGAATGAATTGACATAAGGATTAACATGTTTTGGCTGCTCTGATTATGCATATTGGCTATCGATGTCCTACGTGCTATGTGCAACTGGTTCATCAATTCATCGATAGACAAGCATGAAAAGCTTAAGATCAGTGTAGCTGACATCATTTCACCTTCTTTTGCGAGAAGTTAGTCACAAGAGAAAACAAACGTGGTCATGGCATGGTCGATAATAGTGTGAGAGTGGCATGGTAGCAGGTCTCAGACTAACAGCTCATTGCCATTAGCGATGGTTCCATGGTTTTGGAAGCCTTAAGGCGCCTGTGGATGTTGGTACGACATCAGGCCATCCAACGCATGCATGCTTGAGCCAGAAAATGGCACCAACAGAATTGAGCTCCATTATGGTTAACACCATGATATTTTATAGCAAAAAGGAAACTACAGATCTCTCCAAGATTCAAAACATTAAATTTTAAAAGAGAGCTAAGGAACTTGGATAGTTATTTCTCGAGGAATGAAGTTCAACAAGAGATTATTCAAGACTTTCCTGATTATACTCAGTAGAAATAACTATATAGCCACAAGATAGGAGTGCGGGAAAAAGGAATAGAAGAGAGAGACAACGATAACTTAATTTAACCCAAGAAATTATTTGACGATAACTATATAAAGTTTATGCCAATAAATGCGGTGGGTCAAGAGCAATTTCGAGTAACAAATAATAATACTTGCAAAGTGTTTTAAAGGAACATGATGAGGTACTTATTACATTCAAAAGCAGTGTGCCAAAGATCTCCGGGCATTGTCAATTTGCTGTCTCTGCAGTCGCGAATGATCTGAGGTCATTTGGGCAGGACAGTTGTGATTGTCATGCTGGATCGAGTGGTGCTGCTATTAACGCTTGTGACAGTGGTAGATGTATAGTAGAAGGCATCAGGTGGTGGCTCATAGGTTGCCACCGGCATCCTCGCCTGCAGATTAGGCAGTGGCATCTCAGACCGCAGCACGCTGACGGCCTGCCGGATGGACGGTCGGAGGCTCCGGTCAGGGTGCGCGCACCAGAGGCCGACGACCATCACGGTCTCCATCTCCCGGGCCTCCAACTCACCCTTGAACCGTGCGTCGGCGGCGTCGAGGATGGCTCCTCTGCTGTGGTACTCCCACACCCACTGCACGATGTGGATCACGTCTTCTTCGCCGTGGCGACGCACCAGGGGCCGCTGGCCGCAGGCGATCTCTAGCAGTACGATGCCGAAGCTGTAGACGTCCGACTCAGCGTTCGCCCTGCCGGTGATCATGCACTCCGGGTCCATGTACCCCATGGTCCCGGCGAGCACCGTGGTGTGCGAGCCCTGGCCGTGGTCGACCAGCCTCGCCAGCCCGAAGTCGCCGAGCTTGGCGTGGAAGGACGCGTCCAGCATCACGTTGCTGGGCTTGATGTCCCTGTGCACAACGCACTGCTCCCACTCCTCGTGCAGGTAGAGCAGCGCCGACCCCAGTCCCAACACAATCTCGTGGCGGAGCGGCCATGGCAGCAGCGTGTCGGTGTCGTCGCTGATGGTGTAAAGGTGCTTGTCGAGGCTGCCGTTGGGCATGAGCTCGTAGACGAGGAGGAGTTCGCTGCCGCCATGGCACCAGCCGATCAGCTGCACCAGGTTGCGGTGCCTGAGCCGGCTGATGATCCTCACCTCCGAGGCGTACTCTTTCCTCCCCTGTTTGGAGCCCTTGGACACCCTCTTGATGGCGACGTGGAGATCCATCTCCTTGAGGAATCCCCTGTACACTGATCCGAACCCCCCTTCCCCGAGCTTCTGTGTGTCCGAGAAGTTGTCTGTGGCAATGGCGAGCTCGCCGTAGCGAAACCGCTTTGGCCCGGTCCCTCTCTCGAAGTCGTCTTCCATCTCCAGATCCTCGTCGAAGAACCCTCCTTCTCCCAGCTCTTGCTCCCTCGCTTCCTCAAGGATTCTAGCCTGCCTCCTCCGTCGCCGGCGAAGGAGCCATATGGAGAAGATGGCTAGGATGATCATGATCGAGACGGAGCCGACAGACACGCCAATCACGATCCCTGTCTTTGATGGTTCTGTGGAGGGATGCAAAAGACCGCGTCAACGTTGTTGCCCTGCATCAGTCGATGACGATAAACGGACCAAGGAAGCCGCAGCAGGAGGATGTGTACCTGGAGTTGGCGGCGAAGACGTAGGTGGCGCCGGAGCCGGAGCCGGCGCCGGCGGCAGAGTGATGTCTATCAGGAACGACACCTGGTAGCGCAGGTAGCAGCTGTAGCCCTTGATGGAGCATCCCGTGTGACTGGGAAACAGCTTCCGCAGCCTGACGGCGTAGCTCCTGATGCAGGTCGAGCACTCGCTGCCGTTGAGGTCCCTGGTGCACTGTGCCAGCCCGTACATCTCCATCTCCTGCGAGCCCGTGCTCGAGTACGGCATGCTGCTTCTGAAACTCCGCGACGTGTCAAAGGCGATGGAGCTTGAGAGGGCGGCCATCAGCGGCACCCAGACGTCCAGCACAGCTTCTGAGGTCAAAGGCATGCCGATGCCGGTCAGCGGCTCGGCGAATACGTAGCCGAGGTCCGCGGTGGTGGGGATCGGCGCGGTCGAGTACCGGAGGACGCACGCGTCGTACGCCGCGCTCACGTTCCGGCTGCCCGGGCACGCCGTCGTGATCCCGGCTGACGCCGTGGAGATACAGTAGAGGCAATCGGACGCGTCGCGGTCCGCGAAGCACATGATGAGGCCGAACACCGCGTCGGGCCCCGACCCGGCGCTGCCCTTGTAGAACCAGCCGTTGTCGCCGGCCGCCGTGGGGAGCGCGGCCAGGAACTGGTCCAGGTTCTTCTTGTACTGGCTGCCGTCGGTGTAGTTGTCCGACGTCGAGCAGGACGGATTAAACGGCTTCGAGATATTGTTGCCCTCCTGCCCTGCGGCTGCGACGAAGAGAAGGGCCAAGGTGGCGAGGAGGAGGAGAAGACGGGAAGCCATAGCCGGCCGGCAGCTCTCAGCTGCCCTGGGCCCTGGGACGCCGTTGCTTGCTGGTTTTGGACATATATGGACACCCTGTGTCCTCCTCTGCGTTGCGTTGCTCTCTTTCTGACACCGTCAGCTGCGACTGATGAGGATTTGTAGTGGATCAGGTCGGTTTCGAGCTATTCATTCAATTATTCTTCGTTCTTTGCACGATGTAGGATCAGGACCCGGCGACCGGCGTCATGTGTTGTGTCCTGGCCGGTGTGCACATGCAGAAACCAAACTGTCATGTCATAATAAAGAAGCTAGAAGTTCAGAGAGTCACCCTTCCATAGTAGTCACTAGTCGGCGTTATGTAAGAAATGACATTTTACCAATTTCTTGCCGATTTCAGGAGTGTTTTTTAATTGAGAAAATTTCCCCCTTATGTATGAGGAAGTTCAGCAGGATTCTTTCATAGTGGTCACAAGTTTCGTAGGTTAGGAGTACTGATTTTCTGCTTTGAATGGATATCTCTTAGCTCTTCCCCTCAAATTAAAAGATATCTCTTAGCTTCTGAAGTAGCTGATTGATAAGCTCACAAAGGGTGGTCACAAGTTCCATTTGGATCTTTGGCAGTTGCCGGCCTGCTTTTGGCTTGGGTCCAGTCTATTATCAAACCTATTGTTGGTTCCTGTCAAAGTTCAGGCAGATGCACGGTGGATTCGCGCCAGCGCAAGCCTGCTCTCGTAAATCGTAATTGTGGCAAGGAGAGAAGACGATTCAAGGGCAGATGTCATGCTATGGACGATACTGTTGGAATCACTCCCTCTGGTTTCTTGTTGGAACTTGGAACCACTCCCTCTCACTTGTGGTGTTTATCACAAACACTTACACACTCACGTTACGGTGGACACAAAGCACACACATACAGAAAACGGTACAAGCTAACAAGCTTTAGTTTTACGTAAGCCACACAACTCCCATCGTTTTCCATTCATATATATAGACTCAAGTACATGCAAGAAACAGGCTGCTGGCCAAATCACTCAGCCAAGACTCACGCCACATCTCGCAACGTGCAAATGTGCAAAGCACCAAGCAGCATGCAAGCCATGGCCTCCTCGCCGGCCACGAATAGTTTGAGCTAAAAATTAATTGAAAAATAAAGAGTCTATATAAATTATAAATAGCTAACTTCAAATTTTAAATTACAAAAATAGTAGGTACATTCAAAATTTAAATTACAAACAATAGTAGCATCATTTTCATATGTTGAAGAAAAACCTAAAGATTTTTTTTGTGTATTACTATACTGTAAGTAAAGTTTTTTTGCCGTCAACTCTAGCACAGTTGGTGCGGCAGGGGGATTACAGATCCGCTGCGCGGCCCACTCTCTCTCTCTCTCTCTCTCTCTCTCTCTCTCTCTCTCTCTCTTTCTTTTCTCCTCTGTCTGCGCTGGGCCGAGCATTCGCCGCCATCGTCCCTCTCCGCCTCGGCCATCTTCAACGCTCTTCCTCCCTCCGTGACTCCCCTCGGCCTCCCTCTCTCACTCCGCCGCCGGCCCTCTCTCTGTCAGGCCCCTCGCGGCTGTGCCACCCGCTGCGTGCTCCCCGCCGCCGGTCGCCAGGGGCCAGCGGCGGCCCTCTCCGCGGGCCGTGCTGGGTGTGAGTGAACCCCCAAGGTTCCCCACTTCGTAGGACAGGTAATCCGCTCTCGATTTCTTGTTGCAATGTTGATTTCAACCTCGATTTCATGGTAGTTAGGATTTGTATAGTTAGATTAGTATAGTTAGGGCTGAATGGTAGTTAGATTAGTATAGTTAGTTTAGTATAGTTAGTTAGATTAGTATAGTTAGATAAGTATTTGTAATATTTGTTAGTATACTTATTTGGTATAGTTAGTGTAGTTAGTTAGTATAGATAGTTTAGTATGTATCAGTTATATATAGTTAGGTTAGGTTAGAGGTTAGATATTTAGGTTAGGTTAGATTGTATTAATATTTTGTTAGGTTACTATGTATAGGTTATATGTACTTTGTCGCCCCTGTTTTATTCGCCAGAACCATTTCATAGACTTGATGAAGTTTGTTCAAATGCTTTTGTAGATGGATTGTTTAGCCCGTTTGTTTTATGGAGGAAGTGTTAGAAAAGAAGATATGGTGTTTGAGGATATTGAAGATGAATTGGAAATGTCTGATGTGCCTCCTAGCTTCAGTGACCTTTTCTTGTGTGTTAAGGAAAAGTTTGATGGTGCTTTCACATCGAGGGGGGAGGTTGATAGTGGGAAGACTAGGGAACACTTTGTCTTTGGTCGCCCAAAAAAAGGTATAATCGAAGGGTCAAATGTGACCATGCATGGCTAAGGTGGTGGTGGAGAATGGATACAGGTAGGAGGATGGGCCATCCTTTGATGGCGTTGGAGGCAATGAACAACAATGGGGGTCGATGTGGACCCAACACTAGGGAATATGGTATTGGACAGTTAGTTGACGCATGAGCAACTTCAGTCCTCTCCAATGGTAGTTGATGAATGCAGGTGGGTTTCAGTAGGCCGTCTGAACGACGACTTCAATGTGGGTTCGTACGAGCGGGACGAGTCAGAGCAAGAGGAGGAAAGGATTGGTGATGAAGTTAGTAGTCATTCAGGGGGTTTGGACCATGATGAAGGAGCTAGAGATGTGCCAGTTGACCTAGGTAACCATTACCCAGGACCGGTTGAGGAGAGAGTAGTCAGATATTTGCCTGTTCGTGCTGAAGTAGAGGAGGCTATGCCTATTCGTACTCACGTATAGGATGCTACTCCATATGATTCATGGGTGAGTCCTTAACGATCAATTTGACCTGCCAATTAAGACATAAAAAGAGAAGAAACTAGCAATCTTGTGCACATATGCATTTACTATTGACCAACTTCCACATGTATTTGGAGATTATTGTTTTGGAGGACATAAACACGAATACATGTGAAAATATACCAAAAGGAACGTTCCAACAAAGCGCAACTCTGAATTGCGCTAAAGGATTAATAACAAAGGCCCATCTACCCAGATTAATTGGGCGAAACACCACCCAAGGAGCAGCCCAGGCTCACTCAAGAGTCCACCGCGCGAAGGCGGTGGTGACTGGAGCCAGTCAGGGTGCGGCCGCACCCCTCCTGGCGCCTCTTGGCCACTCCTTCGTATGGCGGTGTCCGGGCGACATGCGGAGGCGGTGGAGACCAGGGTTCCCGCCAAATATCTCCTCCACACCGTGTCGTCCCCTCAATTTGAGAGTCCTCAGTGCTTCCATATTTGCACTAGGATCACGCACAAATACGCACTAATCACAGGGATGGTACACAGATATATTATAAAAGGTTCCGAGCTTTATTGATATATAAAATAAGGTCTACAACAGTGGCCCGAAGGGCATTGTCGTAGGCTACAGAGTTGGCAGAAAGCTATGACCATGAAACAACATTATTGGTGGTCTCTAAAGCGGGATTATTATACAACGAAATGACATCCTATTCCACAGGCAACTAGAGCGCGGACGAAACCCTAGCCTCGATGTCACATTCCTACGAACGAATCTCCTAATGGGAATCCTATTCCTCTTGATACGCTTCATCTTCGAAGTCATAGTCTTCTTCTGTGCCGAGGTCTGTGAGTTGACAACGGGTGAGTACATGCATACTCAGCAAGTCCCAACCATGGGTGGAAATAGAAGTGTAGTGGTGATTATAATTTAAGGGTGAGTCCTAGCGGAGTATTACCATTCCCACTAGTGCCTAGGTTAATCATCAATTAATTACCTATTTTATTGCACATAAAAGTAAAGCTAATCATAGTATCCCATCCTAGCATTTGCCTATTCCAAGGACGTGGCTATTCGAATAGATTTAATAAAACTCTACAGAGGTGTACAAATTTCCCCACATGATAGGTGCAACCTCATCCATGATCAATGGACAAAATAGAACTAATGAGATCCCATACCCGCTTGGAACGGTAACCTAGATTTCTATATAATCTCTACCACGATTTCACAGGGGTTACACAAAACCAGGAAGATACCAAATCTCCCCCAAATGTGATGATACCAAATTATCACAAAAGAAAAACATGGCTCAAACACGCCCAAGAAAATAGTGGTTCAAACACGGCCTCAAAACCTAACGCTTAACGTGGAAGATCACATAGCATCCACGCCACCAGACACGGAAGAAAACCTATCCCCCGTGCCGGCTCCTGATCTTCCGTTGCCTACATCGGCCTCCTAGTAGAAACTATACTTCTATCTAACGAGGTGTGGGACCAAGCCTACCCATATAGACATGTGGCTATACAAAAAGACTCACTAGGCGAGAGGGACTATGAATCGGTACTTATGTGACCGAGGTGAGTATCTCCCACATGAACCCTATCCAGGCATTCCTGCCATGACAAACTACATCCATAGTTTACCACTACTCGCCCCATGTCGGGGTTTAGTTCAGGTTTAACATGTTTTAAGTTCCATTATTATTCCTATATCTAGTCATGGTATGGAGCTCATAACAAGATAACCATTTAATTATATCATATTAACCGAGCTCATTTTCTAAGGTAATAATCTCATAGTCATGTTTTAGCATTTCGGTGGTTTTAAGCAAGATGGTAGGGAGGGGAGCTAGGACTTGCCTTTGTTGTCATCACCTTCCAGCATGTCTACGTAATTCGGGTCTTCGTCCTCCTGACGATTATTGTCGTCTGTCGGACGTATCGGTCGCATAAGACTACCGCTATCCGCAAAAGAAAAAGGACCCAAGCAAACATAGAACTATATGGTGGCACTAAGTGCATCTGATAGGGTTTGATTTTAGATGAGTTTTAGAAGTGGTTTCATGCAAATCGGAGTTATGGTTTAAAAGTTATGAATTTTAGAAGTTTATCCTATAGCTAATTAATCTAGGTGGAATTTTATATGTATTTTCTAGTGCATAAAAATAGGTGCAAACTACATAATTAATTTCCTTATGTCATCTAGTATATTTACAAATTTTCTAGGAATTTT